GGGCCCGACGGGTCCCCAGCCTCTGTGTCCCCCAAGCCAAGGGGCAGGACGTTGTCTGTGCAGCTGGGTCCTCCCTGCTCAGCTCTGCTTCCCCTGCGACACCTGCCCCTGATCTCCTGGGAACCTCTCCCCACCTGACGCCTGGTTTGCCCTCGGGTCTGTCCCCCCCACCTCTGCCTCTTCAGCCAGGCCTCCCCCCTGCTCTCCCCTCCCCGCAGCCTCTTCAGCCAGGCCTCCTGCCTGCTCTCCCCTCCCCCCAGCCCCTTCAGCCAGGCCTCCCGCCTGCTCTCCCCTCCCCCCAGCCCCTTCAGCCAGGCCTCCCCCCTGCTCTCCCCTCCCCCCAGCCTCTTCAGCCAGGCCTCCCCCCTGCTCCCCCCCCAGTTGAGGGGTCTCTCCCTGGCCCTCGGCTGGGTCCCTCCCACAGGGGTGTTACCGCCTGAGGGGCTTGAGGCGGACTAAAAGGTCCGTCGCCCGGTGTGCTTAGCACCAATAAAGACACCGAGGGGAGAAAGCAAGCCAAGTTTATTTCAGAGCTCTGAAATGACACTAGGAGACCAGCATGTCTCAAATCCAGTGCAACAAATACAAATAACTTTTGCCTTTTATACCCCAAGCTGTGTAAGCCTTTGTTTGTTAACTCCCTCTTATTACTCCCACCCCTCCCTTCTCTAGCCGTTACAATTAGAAAAGTTCCCATACGCCTGCTTATCTTTTGGCCTTGCAAGACCTGTTTACAGCAGCTGCCTGCTAGAAAAGCTGACCCTTACATTTCTACTTCAGCCTATAAGCAGTTAGCCTAAAAGTAGGTGAGAGTTCACAAGATGGAGTCTGGGGGTTCAGATAGGCCCAGAGCAAAAGAGCTTCATCGACACTTTGGCCTTCCACTCTCCCGAGTTACCTGGTAGCTATGCCTAGAGGCCCCCAACAGGGGGGCTCCCTCCGTCCTCGGTGGGACCTGCCCCCCACTCCACACAGAGTTGGCCTCCCAGGAGCATAGAGACCCAGCCTAGAGCATCTCACAGACCTCCACAGCCAGAGATACGGGTAGAGCGTCACCCCCCCCTCAGCCCTGTCTGACTGGGCTGGCTGAGTCCTCCAGGTCATAGCGATCAGGGGGGTGGGGGCTAGAGGAGCCGCACAGTAACAACACCAACCCAGAAGAACGGGCGGATTCTCTCCCCGGCGAAAGAGGCCGGCGGGAAAGTGACGATCGGGTCCCCGGTACCAGCATCGAAAAACGCCACCAGCCCCCGTTCATAGTCCAGATACACCCGGATCCTGTGGGGTCCCCGGCTCGGGGGGAAGGGGATGATCTGCCGAGGGGACGTGAGAGCCCAGCACTGATCCTCCCAGCACTGCACAGTCCAGATTCCCTGCTCAGGGCTATAGTTGATCCGTCCCTTCCTGCTCACAGACTCTCGGGCCACCCCCACATAACAGAATACTCCCCCCTCCCGCTCCCCCTCCACCTCCCAGTAATGGCTGCCCGAGGTGAATCCCTCACAGCCCAGCACACAGCGCGCAGTGTCAAATCTCTCAGGGTTGTTGGGCACAGCCTGCCGTGTGTCTCCCCATCTCACACTTCTCCGATCCGCAGACACGATGAGTTCGGGATGGGCCGTGTCTGGATCCAGAATCACGTTCGCTGTAGAGAGAGAATCAGAGCGTGAGGGGCAGAGCTCAGCCCTGGGGGAGGGTCTGATCGTGTCAGTGACAGAACCTGCCCCAGCTGGGGAGTGAACCAGGCAACCTCCTGCCTCCAGGATTTACCCAGCTCTGCCTGGGGAGCAGCGCTGAGATCTCAGCCATGGGCAGGGGGGAGTCACACCCTGACAGAGCCAGTTCAGGGACAGAGTGAAAGGATCAGCTCAGCTGAGCCAGGCCCCCAGACCCAGAGTCTGAGTCTCAGTGATTCCATCCTTGTGCTTGGGGGAAAGACAAGGGGGGTTAGAGGGAGGTGGGTTTAAGCCTCCTTTGTCCTTCCTTTAGTCTCCCTGGCCCCTAGTAACAGGGGCCTCAGGGCTGCAAAGCAGAGAGCAGCCAAGTGTGATGCATCCTGTCTATGCCCCCAGCAGAGCCGTCCCTTGGGGAGGGCGAATCAGGGCAACCGCTCCAGGCCCTGCGTTTTGGGGGGCCCCGCGATTGGCCGTCACTTCCGCACTGGACCCCGCACCTCCCTAGGGACGGCCCTGGCCCCCAGCATGTCCCAAACCCACTCCTACAATAACTGCTGGGAGCAGAGTTGCTGAGGAGTCCCTGTGCCAACTTCACATGGACGGGGGGGGCTCCCTTGCACCGGAGCTATTTTATGGGGACTGTTTCCAGGCACATTAAGGCCCCTTTGCTCTGACAGAGCAGCACAAAAGGGCCTGACAATCAGGCCCTGGAATCTTTCCCCACCTGCACCCACCTCTCCCCACAGATGTGATTAGAGACCCCGGCATCATAGGAGGCTCCCAACAGATTATAGGGAATCCAAAGTCCCCCTGTCCCATGATGCAACTCTTCATACCCCGACTCCTTGCAGAGCCCCCTCCCTCCTAACGATCAGCCGGCTGAGCACTAGAAAACCTGCTTTTATAGAGACCCCACTGGCCCCCCATGACTCTGTGTAGCTGCGGGGTGGGTGAGGACACCGCACACTTACTGAATGGCTGCTCGTCTTGTGCTGGTCTATCGGGGACTTTCCAAACTCCACACTGCTGGCCCCAAGGCTATGCAATGGCTAATGCAGTATTGCCGACTTCAAGGGATCAAATCTCATGAGATTGGCCCAACAATCATGACATTTTTAAAAGAATTCTATTGTGGTTTTTAGGTCAGTCTCGTGATGTTTGAACTCCCCTGGCCCCTCCCCAGGGTGTGCGCATGTGACAATCAGTGTGGCCCACTCTCCCACATGTCCTGGAGAAGGTGATTTTGGCTCCTGCTGCAGGAGCTCTCACCGCCACATCTGCCTGTCTCCTGCCCAGCAATTAATCCTGTTCCCCAGCCCCCATCAGTTCTGTTCCCATCCAACCCCCTGAAATTCAGTCCCCCAGCCCCCATTATCACCACCCCATCAGTTCAGCACCCCTACCCCACCGCCCTCAGTTCACCCTCCCAGCACTCACCCTATCTGCTCAGAACCCACCATCAATACAGCCCCCCAGCCCATCAGCCCCCTACTCACTTCAGGCCCCCTGCAGCCCTCAGGCCATAATAAAGCCCTCCCAGCCCCACCTCTCCTCCTTCTAGGGTTCTTCACCCTCCCTAGGCCTGGGGGCTACAGTGGGGTCCCCTCTCCCACTTCCCAGGCTGGCCGGGGAGCAGCGGCACTGGGGTGGTGACAGTGGGAGCCCCAGTCGCGCCCAGGGCAGCTGACAGGATTTCTAAGTAAAATGAAGCCTCATTTTTAGAACTCTCAAATGTCGGGAATTTTTTTTCAGCCACAGCTGAGAGTTCTATAGCGAGATCATGAGTGAGGCTTAATTTTACTCAGAAATCGCATCTCTCACACTCAATTTGTGAGAGTTGACATGTCTGCTAATAGGTGATGTCTACCTAACCCCTTCTGACATTTTGAACATTTTTTCTTTTGACTTATAAAATAGAGAGAGGAAACAGAAATGTCTATTTTTGTATGTTGAATTTTCCCATTCTTCATTGCACCACTTGTGCATTTGCTCATAATAATAATATGGCCAGGGGATGTCATGTATGGGCATAAAGAGTTCAGAGAATGAGGTGAGATGTTCCTCTCTGATTTTCCAAAAGGCTCATTTTTAAATTCTCAGATCTACGGAGATACACTGCTCACCTCCTCTCCTGCACCCCAGCCCATCTGGTTAACCCAACCACTAATTACAAATTCCAAGAGAGAAAAGAATCGACTTTTCTGTTTTTAGGAAAGATCTGGGCAGCCACCAGTAACATGTTGCTCAGCTCCTGTCAAATGCAAACTTGAAACAAAACCTGAACTATGGTGCTGTCAATGAGCCACCACAATTCACATAAAAGTTTTCACTCCCCCTTTGATACGAGAAATTTACCTTTGTCCCACTGAGGTTTAGACGACAGAGAGTCTAGAGGAAGAAATGGGTGAAAAAGATGAAATATCATGTTGTCATGTTGAGGAATATATTCACATTGTTAATGTTCTAACACAAAAGCAAAATGAAAAGAAAACAAACTTTATGAAGTTCTAGTTAAGGAGGTTAAGTGCAATTCAGACCAGTACAAACCATTACACACCTCACTAAAAAATAACCACAAACATTAAAAACTAAGGACATGACCTAAGGTTACATGACAGACCCAGAGATGTTTTACCAGCGATTACACACCTGGGGCTGGCCCATGACAGCTGACTTGGGCTCGCAGGGCTGGGGCAATGGGGCTGTTTAATTGCAGGGTAGATGCTCGGTCTTGGGCAGAGGCCTGGGCTCTAGGACCCTGCAATGGGAGGGGGTCACAGAGCCCAGGCTCCAGCCCGAGCCTGAACCTCGTGAGCCGGAGTCAGGGGACACGGGCCAGTCACGGGTGTTTAATTGCTGTGTAGAGAAACCCTCTGAAACCAACACAGAACTCACAGACAGACCCATACACAGACACTTTTTCAGTGATTAGCATTCAATCAACTTTACATCTGCCCTTGAACCATTAGTACTTAGTAAACTGGCTCATCCTTCCTGACAGCCCTGGTGGTCTTGTTATCTCCAGCTCAGGAGGATAAAAGGTGGAGAATCTCTAAAGCAGGGGTGGGGAACCTACGGCCCGTGGGCCAGATCCGGCCTGTTGCTAAATTTCATCTGGTCCGCAGACCTGCCGGTCCCCTCCCCCGCCACTGGGATGGAGCCGCGAGTACTGAAGCCCCGAGCCTCTGCACAGAGCCGCGGGAACTAGGAGTGTGGAGGGTGCTGAAGCACCCCCAGGTTTTGCGTGGGGTCCCAGTCGCCGGCCCCACGCCCAGGGTCCCAGCTGGCTGCTGGACCCCCGTCCGGGGCTCTGCCCCTGGTACCGCACCTGGGGTCCCATCAGCTGGCCCCGCACCCACGGCTCTGCTCCCGCCCCTAGCTGTGGTCCCAGCCTCAGCCCCCTTACCCCTGTCCACATCCTGCCCCACCCTCCCGGAGCCACGGCCCAGTCTTGGCCCCAGCTCTGGGGAGAGGGGGCACAGACAGGGGTAAGGGGGTGGTGCCAGGTAAAAAGTTTGGGGACCACTGGCTTTCAGCATCCCCACTGGAAAAATTGTTCCAGTGCCACTGAGCGCGGGTCTGGCGCCGCGAGCGCCGGCTTGGCCTGCTGCAGGGGGAAGCCCCGAGCCTGCACGCCCCCACCCCCCCGCGGGTGAGTGGCCCGTGACTGATTTTTTTCCGTGAGTCAATGGCCCGTGATAGAAAAAAGGTTCCCACCCCTGCTCTAAAGCAAGAGAGGGACTGTGATGACACAGGAGATCTTGCAGACAAAAAATCCAAACAAACATACTTCAAAAACAGTGAATTCAGCAGGAAGCCCAAGCTCAGGTTAACGTTCATAGCTGCTAGGAAAGGAAACCCCCAGGGAGTGCGAATGTAGACCCCGAACCCAGTGTGTATGTGCTGTATTGAGAGCTGAGGAGGGAATTCATAGCTTCCAAATGATTACTTGACTATCTCCATCCACAATCATTGTCCCTAGGAGATTTCCCCAGCTCTGTCACTTATCAGTGTAATATAGGTGAGAAAATTCCCCAGGTGACTGTTTATTACCTTTGAATTTCTTCATTATGGTCTCCAGAGATGCATTTCTTTGAGAAGATTCCCAGATTCTCAATTTCAGGTCAGAAGAAAAGGCCACTGGGTTCTGAAACTTCTCCCTCTCGCATCTGAAGAACAACCCAGTGTTACTCGTTGTGGAGTTCGGTCATATTTGTGTTTTACTAACATGTGTTTTACTCCAGTGAATGGTTGTAGCTCAGCAGACCCTGGAGGATTAAAGTCTCTCTTGCCCCAGGAATAGGTCCAATCCCAGCTTGGACACTACAAGCTTCCCCTTCATTTTGGTGAGACCGATATTGGAAAACTGCCTCCAGTTCTGGTGTCCCCAGTTTAAAATGGACGTTGAGAAAGTGGAGATTGTGCAGAAAAGACCCACAAAAATGATGTGAGGGCTGGTAAAAATGCCTTGCACTGAGAGAACCCTGGCACTTGAGTGTGGGGTATAAATACCGTCATGGGGAGAATAGACTTGGTACTAAAGGGCTCCTCAATTTAGCAAACAAAGGCACAACAAGGACCAATTGCGGGAAGCGGAAGCCAGAGAAATTCCAATGGGAAATCAGACAGACATTGTTAAGAGTGCGGGTGGATTAACCATTGGCAGAAACTGCCAAGGGAAGTGGTGGATTCTCCATCTCTGGACGGGCGCCAGAACAGGGGGGCCGTGGCCCCATCACTTTTAAAAGTGGGAGAGCTCTGCTCTCTCCCTTTGTACCTGCCTTAAAGGCAAGTGATGGAGGGAGGGGGCAGAGAGGAGCGATCAGGGGGCGGGGTCTCGGGGGGCAGAGGCAGACCAGGGCTGGGGCCATGGTTTGGGCACCGGTGGCCCCCCCACTTCTAGGGAGCTTCAGGCGTTACTGTCTGTTGATGTCTTTAAATCTAGACTGACTGGCTTTCTGGAAGGTGCTTTAGTCAACGCAAGCTAGGATTTAGTCAAATTCAAGTGATTGGGCTGAATACAGGAATAACTGGGTGAAATTTAGGGACCTGTGATACAGAGGCACCGACGCCAGAAAAAAAATAGTGGGTGCTCAGCACCCACCAGCAGCCCCATAGATCAGCTTTCTCCCCTCCCTCCCAGTGCCTCCCGCCCGCTAGCTGGCCCTGCCGATCAGCTCCTCCCTCTGCCTCCCACCCACCGGGATCAGCTGTTCAGCAGCAGGCAGGAGGTGCTGGGGGGAGGGGAGGAGCAAGGGTGGGAAGAGGCGGGGCAGGGCAGGAAGAGGCGGGGCCTTGGGGGAAGGGGATGAGTGGG